CATGGGCAACGATCGTGATCGTGATCCTGGCCCTACGATTGTGGAGTGAGTAGGTCTTGATTGGACAGACAAGAACTACTCCAATACCGCAAAGACAGCCAATGCCATGGGCCCAGGTTCGCGGGTAAGCGGGGTTCTGAAATCGGATGTCGTCTACCAAGTCGGAAATAGGCGGCGTCATTGTCAGCAGGGCCGGGGTCAGCGCATCCCGTTGCGACTCGAGCGCAAAACGGACATCAGCGGTCAACGGGCGCCTGCATTGGTCCGACTCGAGCCTTGCGAATGGGTAACCAAATCGCCAGTGAAACCACAACCAACATTCGCGTGCGGGCACTAACCAAGACGAGTTGGTGGTAATAGTAGGTAGCAGGCGAAGGATCCCAAGTCATGCCGGCAGGCTGGCAGAGCCAGGGTATTTGCATGGGAACCATGAATTGCACGGCCAGTTGTCGTTGTCGTCTACCAATGCGGGCTGAGGCTGGTACCGGCTTCGACAAGTCTGTACGACTCGAGCTTAGTTGGGCTGGTCCGGCTGGATGATCTCATCAGGACACCTGCAGTAGAAGCTCCGGGGGGGCGTGTACCTCGCGGCATAGGGTTGAACGGTGAAGCAAGTCATTCGATGGCATGACTATGATGTTGGACGTCGGCCTGCCGATGGGATATGCTTCTATCGCCAAGACGTGATTGGAGATGGCCGACCAGTAAACGAGTCTGCTCATGAGAAAAACTAACTTTGCCTTCGAGGCTACGGCTTTGCTTTTCTCTCTTGGATGTCGTGGACAAGGTCAAGGTCTTGATGATGCTCGTTAGCTTGCTGACTTCTCACGCAACTGTAGTGTATGCGAGAGATGATCCGAGGTTGCTGGTGTGGCTAACAAGTCATGTATTGTGACAGGTCGCCTGCCTGATGCTGTGGCTAGAGAAGAAAGATGGCAAGGCGGGGAGGGCATGGAAAACGATTCGGAGCTACTACGGGTTTCCGTGGATCGTTTTGATGTCAGGCGTTGATGTTGGTGTTGGATTGGAGTTGGAGTTGGGCAGCGGACAAGAAAGAACTGCACTGCATCCATGGATGTCAGAAATGCAATAAGACGACAAGGATATGTTGGCACGGAAGGTGCCAAGCTCATTCCTCAGGATGCTTGCCATGCGCGGCCTCAGGTACTATGGTCTTAAACCCGAATTCCTTTTGGGAAACTAGCAGTAAGCCTTGCTGCTGCTCTCCAATGCTATGCTTACGTCTCCGTCTCCGTCTTGCTTGCCCTTTGAAAATTGGAGAATGGAGATATCAAGGGGCAAGAGTACCCAGGTATTCATGAACCAGAGACAGGCAAAGCACTATGTATTGTGAGTGAGACCTGCCTACCTATCACCTGCCTTCTGAATCAGGAAGGCTAACTTGAGATCTGAGGAGGCATTCGCAGGCTTTTGACAACGCATATCATGAAACAAATGAATCGTCTTTAGCAAGGTAAGTAGAGCGACTCATGATAATAGGGAGGCCATCTAGTCATGCCAAGACATGATGTTCATGAACAGCACAGACTAGAATAAGCCGATCGCGAGCGACTTAGGTAAGGCGACTAGCGATATGTCACTGGATGCGCCGGGTGGCCACATACTGTGCAGTAGGTTTCTGGACTCTGGAGAAGGAGGGGGGGCTAAGGGGCATTGAGGGTCTTGGGGGCTGTTTTTTTCACTCAAGGCGGTAACACAGTCATGGTAACACAAACAGGGATACGGGAACATGGACGGGTTCTAATGCAGTGAGGGAAGAAGGCGCTGGCCAACAACAGTGCCTACTAGGTAGATAGGTAATGCGCCCATTCCGATGGCTCTGTCAAGAAAAGTCAGTCTGTATCAATGGTGGTATCCGTACTAGCCTCTGGTATCAGTGACGCTGTAACGGCATCGCCTTGAGCGCCACAGCCAAGCGCCAGTCCGCTTTCAAGCTGGTTCATGTCTCAACTGACATCGTTAACAGCGAGGGAGCAAGGGACGCTAGAAATGACCCCAAGTGCGGCTTGGATAGCTCCGCAAGATACGCTGTAAATCGACTCGCGCAAGTTGGTAACTACCCACCATCAGCCGGCAGGCAGAATCCGAACAGGGAAGGGGCCTTGCAAGGGCAGGCAGGCAAAGCCGCAAAAGAACGCAACGGGTGGCCCATTCGAGGAGCAGGAGGAGGAGGGGGTCAGGAGCCTGGTCCGGTGGAGGGTGGTTGACGAGGTGGACTGGACAGTCTGAACTGCAGGACTGAACTATCTGGACGTGAGTAGAATCGGTGTCATTTGGTGGCTTGTTTCAACGTTTTGGCCTACATACATGGACGGCACCACCCAAGAAACGACGAGACGGAACGGTGGAACTGTGAAGTTGAGGTGACACAGACCACATGCGGCCGGGCGGGGTCGGCAACCCGGATCCGCAATGTCACCGGAGCTCTCGATTGGACCGAGATTCTTGGACCTCCCCCCCTTCCAAGTACACTGTCACTACTATGGAAGTATCCCATTTTCCCACACACACACACACACACACACACAACTTTTCTACTAATTACCCATCTAATTATACCTCGACCGTACACGGCAAACGCAACCATCGCAAGGCCCCCGGGACCCGCCCTTTCGGTTGCGACCTGATATCCCTTTTCCGTCCAATACGTACTCCCTCCCGTACCTTAGGTCACCCCCTGCGCGCATCCCGCCGGGTTTGATCTGAGCGTGACCGTTAGGAAATGGTCCCACACCCGGTACCCGCCTTTCCGTAAGTGCCTTCACATCAAAGGTACCGTACCCAGACATCATGAAATATAAGTTCAGTACCATATCTGTTAGTGTACACAGCAAAACCAGGACCCCGGGTGGCGGCCAAGCATTCAACCACGTACCTACTTGAATCGCGATAAGGTCAGGTGGAACGCCAAGATGCGGTGAACTTTTCAAGCACATACAGACAGCCGTGTCAGCGCGCATCGTGGCTGTGATAGATCATAAGGGGGAATAAAAAAAAAAAGGGGGGGGGGGGGGGGGACGGGCGCGCGCGCGACAACCTCGATGGGTGTTATGCGGCACGAGGCGAGGCGAGGTGAGGTGAGATGCGACGACCAGCAGCCACTTGACGCTATCGATGACGGCAACGTCGTTTTCGGCTCTATACGAAGCGAGCTTCGCAATACTGTCACTACCTAGCTAGCTGTCTACGTGTACCTTGCGCGATGGATGGAATACGCCATACATCTACATAAGCCCACAGGGCTACAGTCTCTGAAGATGACTAACATGACTCTTTCTCCATGGACGAGCGTACCTATCCGAACTCCGCCTCATTCATCGTCTTTGACAATCTCATCTGATGTCAAACCCTACGCACATCTATAGACTATCCCCTCCTTCACACCAGCCTATGATATCCTATCCCGCCCCAACCTTTGAACAAGGGAAAAAAAAAAAAAAAAAGGGCTCTCCGTCCTTTTTCTTCTTCGTCTACAGTTACCTTTAATTGCCCAGCTGATGCCTGCCAGCCTCCTCTTCGACCGCTTCTCCTCCTCCTCCTCCTCCTCCTCCCCCGCCTGACTAATCTAATCCCCCACTGACATTCAAGATTGGCGCGCACCTCTTCACATTGCATCTATAACGTCGCGTCGGTGGTGGCGAAGGCGACAGGGCGGGCGATATGCGAGACCGTTTATCTTGCGTCCACATTGGTCTTTTCCCCCTCCCCAACCCGAATCTCGCCCCCCCCGAAAGTACAGGTGGATTTCGTCGGGCCGGAGCATATGGCCCGAGGCACCTTGCTCGGAAAGGAAGAAGCTATTCTCGGTTTCCGACGGTTATGGGTTCCTCATTCTGTCCGTTCTTGCTGGTTACTGTGTACCGAGGACCTTGCTGACGCGCCTCGTATCATGTCATAATCCATTTCCGGTCGATTTCCCCTCTTTCACATGGGGCCCGCCTAGAGAAAATGACATCGGTTAAACTGACCTGGTCACCATTCGTAGTACACATAGCCTCGTCAATGTTCAGTAAACAAACCTGAGTTCGTTGGCACGTAGGTCTGCAGTAGTAGTGAGGTTTCCATGGGTTGAAAGAGCTGCGTATGCAACTTCTTGGTTCTGTTAATGAGGGTGGGGGCAACCACGTATAGGTAAGGGAGGGAGTAAGGGGGTAAGCACCAGCTTCCAATGTACAAGTGTATAGGTAGGGAGGCAACTTGTTCCATGACCCCGAGATCTCGGCATTTCCCTCAAAACCATATTTAGTGTTCAATAGCGATTGGTAGATGCCGCAATGGTCTGATTATTTGATACACAATACTGTGGAATCTTTTCTTACCCGTATAATTGAGGAACGGAGGCGCAGACGTACAGGTAGAGAGGCAAAAAGGTGACGGCATGCCAGAGGTGGCTTCTCATGTATGATTATGGAGTTTTTATGCATGTATGTACTGCCAGGGTATGTATGTGCGTTGGTTTGACCTGCAGAGCTCTTTCCATGGAGAAATGAGAATCACACGACGGCGCAAGGTTGCAACCTGGAGGGTCCTCTCCGGCAGTGACATACAGCCTGATGCTCAGTCGTCGGACTCTTTTCGCCAAAAAAAAAAAAAAAAAAAAAAAAAAAAAGCACGCCGGACTGCGGTCCGTTCACTCAAGTGCCACCATCTCCCTTTCCTAACAGGAAGTCAAAATCTGCAGCAGCCTCGGCCGGGTCGCTGGGCGTATCACCATGCGGCTGGGGAATAACTTTCCAGTCACATCACCCTGACTGCAGTCCGCCGAGTGTCATTGGCGGCGGACTGACGTTTTATGGTCACTCCTTTGGCTCGAACTTGGTGGTGGGAAGAAAAAAACGCAGCGCTCGTGTCATGATGGTGCATATCACAAAGTTATATTACAAGACACAGGCGGTGAAAGGCCTAGACCGCAACATGATGAAATCAGAAATCATTTTCTTCTTGAAACATTACTCGTGTGTTCGTTTTTTCTCTGACCGCTACAACAAGGCAGCCAAACTCATACCAAACATGACAACGGCCACCGCCCAAGTGCTCGGTGGCGCCAGAGATCCAGCTGCGTTGCCCAGCCCAAACGGCAAGCCCTGTGTCTTGAAGGTGACGTTCTGCGGGATGGTGGCATTATAACACTGCCCATTAACAATATCCAAATTTGTCAAGTCATCCGGTACTCTGAAGAACATGTAGTTGTTCTGAGGGATATCTTTGAAGCCCTCGGTGTTGTACGGAAACTTGTTGCCAGAGTCGGTGGCACTGGTGTTTCGCAAGAAGATGCACTGGACTTGGCCCGGGTAGTCCTTGTACAACGCGGGATACGCCTTCATGACATCGGAATTGGTGGTGTCGGCTACCAGCACGAACTTTCGCTGCGGGAAAGTCTGGAAGATCTTGTCGAGCAGGAATCTTCGGATGGACAGCGTCGCTGAGATGTCAGAGAAGTTGAGGGGACGAGTGTCGAAGCTGCCCAGGGGATACGTCTTGTAGATGAACTCCATGTAGTTGCGGGTGACCTGCTCAGGGGTCGTGGTCAAGTAGTGGAAGTGGAAGTCGGGGATGGACGCCGACCAGTTGGCGTAAATCTGGGGCATATTCTCCCACTGCGTAAAGGGGCGCGCAAAGGAGTTGAGCAGGCCCTCTTTGGGCTCGTAGATCTTTGTGACGCGGAGAATGTCGTCAATGTCGGAGATGATGGTGAAACCCGTAGGAGGAACGAGATACGCTGTCGCGTTGCCCGTCAACGTGCCGTTAGCGTACATGTTGAGAGTCTGGATCGATGCCGTCTCATTGCCTGGCAGCATATGGCCCCCAGTCGAGCCTGTGGTGTTGCGCAACTTGACAAACGCGTCAAAGTCACCTTCGGCCGTTGTCAGGTAGGGCAAGTTGATCGATTGTGCCCCGCCCCGAGCATTGATGGCGCCTCCGCTGGCACCAGGTCTCACGGAGACGTCGTTGACGAAGTTCATCGTCACGTTTTGGTCATCTTGTTGGACGACGAAAATGGACTCGGTGACATTGCGTGCCTGGGCTTGTTGGTCGGCAGGCAGATCTTTGATGTCGACATCGATGAGGAAAACGTTGGCCAAGTCATCGACCTTGGACTGGCTAATATTGGGCTGTTTGAAGACGTTGCCGTGAATGCGGACATTCCATCCTTCGTCGGTCCAGTTTCCGTAGGCCCTGCAAACGCAGAATTAGCTTGTAAACACACAAACACGGCGACATGTTACTGATACTCACGGCAAATTCAAGATCTGGGTAGGCTTTGCATCCAGGTCACCATCGCTGATACCAAGAGTACTGAGGACCGCGGTGCCAGTTGGGAAGCCCTGGAAGAATGCAGGAATGCCAGAAGCAACCCAGGAGGAAGCATCGCCGAGAATACTGTGGACGTAGCTGTCGATATCGTCCGTCAAGCTAGGCTCTCTTTTCACACGCGTCGGCGGGGGTGTGATCATGGGATGGGCGGGATCGACCGGTGCAGGTGCAGGTGCAGCCAGAACGGCTGGGAGGAGTGCCAGAGGCAGCAGAGCTGTACGTAACAGGGCCATGGCGAAAGGAGATTGTGGTTTGCGATGTTGTGGTAGGAGAACCGCGTTTGGCAAGGTAGCGACGATGATGTCAGCCCCGAGCGGTGACAGCAGCTAGAATTGTAACAATGGCAACGATAATCACAGAAGAATAAGAATAACTCGAAGCACCAGCCCAGAACCAACACAATCGACTACTCCGTACTGAGGTTGTCCGGAAGAAACGGCTGTGGCGCGGAGAAGAGAAAGAAGGATGGGTAAGAGAATGTTGCGATCGGCGGTCGTTGTCTCCCACCTAGGTAGTCTCTTTTGGGCGTGATGACCGTGCTTACCTCTACTTACCTTAATTAAGGTAGACCGTACACTACGGATTAGTTAGCGGGTGGCAGCCCATTGTTTCTCCTATCCCAGATTCCCAGTTGCCCTGAGTTGGCCGTGAGATGAAGCCTGTTCTGGGTTAGCTTGCAGATTTGTGACGTCAAGTGGCTGGGAAGAGCATAGTCCGGGATTGACACATTGGTGGGTTTCAGATCTACAATGGGGCAGCGAATCAAGCTTCTTAGGTGGGGCGGTAAGCACATGCTCTAGCGAATGGCTTCGCGTAACCACCATCGAAATGGCACTGAACAATTGGGATGCCCCTTGGCCTGAGGTCAGATAAAATGCTTCTCTTTGGGGGCACTGCGTCTGTTTCAAGGATTGTCCGTGAAGCTTCTGCTGTGGTATTTCAATTTTTCTTTCTCTCTCAAATCAGGCTTGGGCGCCGTGTTCTAGACCAATCTCCTGTTTCCTTTGCGCAGTCAACAACCCCCGGAGCGCATAGCACCAATCCATGGTTTACCCAGCTGCTTTCCCCTCCACTCATTTCCCATCACCAGTCCTGAGCCATGTTAGCACCCGAATCAATTGTCTTTTGGGGGATCTTGGTTAGACTTATCCCCAGTCGTAAGGGGGTTGCCAGTCTCGCCATTTCTGGAGAGATGGCAACCAGGACTGCCCTCCATAGGCCTGCCCTTTTTCATCCAACGAGTGCCGAGGCTCATGGGGGTAGGAAACAAGCCAACAGTGCAAGTCTTCCACGATCCCGGACAAGCACAAAACTTTGACTCCAACACGAGATGGGTCCCGGCATCGCTTCAGACCTGTTCAGCCAGGCTAGCCCACCCACCCAGAGCCTCTGCGTATGTTACCCGAGTTGTCTCCCGCTCACGAGCCACAACCTTCACTTACACAGCCACCCGGAGCTCGGCGAATTGGATCCCAGTCTGCGTACTCTCAAGCACTCGGGGCAAGTTCTCTCTGTTTGAATCGCACGACCTCCTTGGACTAGTTTTTGTTTCCTCTCCGTGCTCGAAACGCAATGGAGGGCATTCCGCGCGGACAAAATACATCCATGAAAAATCGCGCTCTCATCCGGTGCTTCTCGCTAGAGCAACATCGGGCAAGTGTTGGTTCCCAGCAGGATCAACGTGGACTTGGCGTCCTCCGGTGCCGTGGGACAGAACCCACGACTGGAGGTTGATGCGCCTGGCCAGATCACATGCGGACATGTCACATCCGTGGCAATTGCCGTGGGTGTGGCTCGGAGAGAAGCCGACTGGCTGCTGAGTCCGATACTGGCAACTTCTTGGCTGCTGAGTGAGTCCCGGGGTGGTGTACTAAACAAGTGGGTGCCGAGAGCTGAGCGTGGCGATGAGATTCGTCAGATCGAAAAGTTTCTGTTTGTAGGCCTGGAAACATCGCAGTACTGTTGTACGACCGGCGAGTCGATCCCAAGGCAGGTTGTGGGTGGATTGAAACTTCGATGTTGACCGTTCGTGGCAAACGCAATGCTCTTTCCACTTGTCCGTAGAAACACCTCGAGACAGCAGCTTGTTGCCAACTCGACCCTGCAAACCATGTCTGCCATCTTCTCCGGGCGACCTATTCTTGGCCAGAGTTCTGGTTCCAGCGGAAAGGTCCTGACGAGTGGCCTCGGACCAGAGGCTCTTACCCATACGACTCATAGTAACCCCCTTTCGCGCACCAAATGGTGACTGGAATGTGTTCCCTGCCAGTCCATCCACCGCGACCCTCGAGTGCGATACCGCTTTTCAGCGGCGTACCATCATCGAGGAGCCGGGCGGATTTAAAAGACAGATTCGACGACTGCGGGCGCAAGACTTGAACCAAAAGAATACTTAGGGTTAAGTTCCGAAGCTCGTTCTCTTAGCTGGACTGAATTGTCTGTTATAGACAACCATAGGCCGTGATGATTCCATCCGCGGCAAGCTCAAAGTCCTGATTCAGGTTGAGGTGCGACGCATCACGGGGTGTCAGCCGTGACTGAGAGGTCTACGATAGACATTCCGAGGAAAACGAGAGTCGGAGAACTGAGGGAGAGGTGTCGTGCGAAGGCGAGCCCTTGTCCAGGGACAGTGGATGTCGGGCGAGAGAACTTCCCTTTCTCGACTGCAAGGAGGCGCACGCAGCTGGTTTCCAATTTCGTATCTCGAATTGTTCTCCGGTGGGAGCTGCGTATCCGGTGGTGATTCTTGCTGTTGAAGACGCGTCAAATTGGCTTTTCAGCAGGTGTTGAGGAGCAACCAAACTGTAAAGGTGAGGTGGAAATCCAAGGTCACGCTGGATGCCAGACGAAGGGGAAGGAGCACTGACACGACGCGTTAGGCGCAGTCGCGCACGCGGAGACACGTGACACTGGGAAACGACATACAGTGCGATCTTTCACATACTGTATGCACTTTACTGGCTCCCCAAGCCAAATTACCAAAGCAAGTCTAAATTCACGATCGTCCTCTCTGCATCTGACAAAGATGGAACCAAACACACCTGAAAAGGACCCTCGCTCCAAATTAGCTGACGAAATTCTCAGCGCCGGTAAGCGGGCATTTGATCCATCATCGGACGATGCTTCTCGAACAGCTGCCCAAGAAGACTTTCAGAAGCTCATTGACGGGTACGTGGACGCAGTGAGGCCCCATGTCAGGCGAAACCTTCTGACAGAGGGACTAGGAATGGCTCTTGGAACTTGTTACCTGTCTTGAACGCCTTGATCAAGCCGAAAATTGCTCCAGCATGGCTACGGCCAGAGCTGATGAAAATACTGACCCTGGTTCCTCTTCGGCCTGATGGCGTGAGAGGAACCATGGAGTTTATCTTCTCAGTGCACCCAAGTAGTACTCTCAAAGCATCCGAGGCAGCCATTCCCCAGAAAAGAGGCGCCAACATCACCCAGGAAGCCATGGCCGTTGTCACTCGCATTCTTACCTCCCCACCAGCAATGGTATCGCCTGAAGATTGGTTCTCAAAGGTTGCGCCCCAGTTGATCGTGCTGCTGGATGGAAACGAAGGCGCAGAGCTTAGTGTGGCAGCGGCACAGATCATCATGTTTGGGGTATTGGGCAGGAAACAATTTGGCGCACCTGGTAACAATCTTGCTTTCACCCAGAGGCCAGAAGCCATGCTGACGCTGCGTCAGGAACACCTGGTTGGAATGTCTTTGTTGAGCCTCTGTTGCACAACTTGGATCCATCTCGCGAGTGCAACAGTCCTGCGCCGCACATCAAACTTGAAGAACCCGATATTGTTGATTTGAGTGAAAAGGCCGTCCTGGTCACTGCCGACGACCTCTTCGTCACATTGCGCCGCATGTCGTCGATGATAAACTTCACACCGTACCCAGCACAGACCAAAAGAATCCTGGACCCAGTTCTCGCACATTTATGGGCTATATCGTGCCAGAGCAAAGGCAACAAAAGGACCGAGGACCGATACTCGAAGCCATCGAGATCATTGCTCCATACGTTTCTGAAACTGAGTGTTTCTGTGTCAAAATTACACGAGGTCGTCGAAAACCTACTATATCAAGGAGAGTATGCGAAAATGCCACAGTGGCGATATCAGTCGACTTCTGACGGCGACCTTCAAATATGTGCCATTCCGCTGGGCCATGGATCACAGGTCCCAGAACTAGACTGGAATGAGATTCAGACCCGTTCCGAAGCCCTTATACGTCTGTTGACGGCGAGTTGCACACCCGAAGAAACATCGACCTTCTTCTTGGAACTTCTTGGCCGATGGTTCCAATCAACAGTCACAACCCAAAAGCCTGAAGTTCTCACCAAAATGGAAGACAGCCAGGCTCAGGATGATATCAAGCAACTCTTCGAAATAACAATCTTGCAGAAGATGCTAGAACAAATCCCAGACAAGCTGATTAGCCGCGTAACGCAAGTTACTGAGCTTGTAGCTCAGATCCTGGATCCCAGCGGCCTCCAGGACCAGTCTGACGACATCATCGCGGTTGCTTTAAGCTTGTTCAACTTAGTCATCACAGCCCCAAGCTTCAAAAAGTCGAGCCTGAAGACTGAAGTTCTACAAGCTCTTGAAGCATCTCTTGCTAAACTTGGCGCAGCGGGACGCCCTGAGGTTTCTCCTACGGCGAAGAACCTGACGCTTTTGCTGAGATACCGTGAGGCTATCGATCCCACAGAAGAGGGTGCATTTGTGCCCACCGATAAGCAGGTGGAGGACAGGCGAACGTACAAGCTTGCGCTGGAGTACATTACTCAAGCAGATAATCCTCCGCCAATCCGCTCCGAGGGAATCAACCTTATATCGGGCCTAGTGGCATCTGATAGTTCTGTTCTGGATGTGCAAGCCACCCTCGTTCTCCTTTCGTCTCTACTTCAAGACAGCGAAGACTTTATCAATCTCCGGGTTGTGAAGCTTCTGACCCAATTGGCGAATAAACACCCTAAAGCAACCACGCAGGAGATCCTTGAACATTACCTGGACTCAAAGGAAACCTCGTCAACGGATGTCCGCTTACGCTTCGGCGAGGCCTTGGTTCAAGTGATTGAGCGCCTCGGCGAGACTTTTGCCGGTGACGTGGCAAGGCGCGTGTCTGAAACATTGCTGTCGATTGCCGGAAGGCGAGGCCATCGACCAAAGACGGAGGCCAAGCAGTCCCGAGAGAAACGTCTGCAGGACATGAAGAAAAAGCAGGCGGAGGATGCGTGGGGAGGAGATGTCCCAGATCTCAGTGATGATCTTACGGGAGAAGAGTTGGCCAAGAACGAGATCCTGACTCAGATTGTTGAGGGATGGGAGAGCAAGAGAGGTAGCGAAGACGCCCGCATGCGAGCATCTGCCCTTTCGATCTTCTCAGTCGGTCTCGAGACCAATATTGCGGGCATTGGGCCTGACCTCATTTCCATCGCAGTGGACCTCTGCATCAACGTGCTGGCGCTTGAGCGAGAAATTGAAAAGGGCATCATCCGGCGTGCAGCCATCTTGGTTGTTCTGGGCTTCGTCAAGGCTCTTGATACTGCCAAGCAATCTGGTCGGAGACTCGGTTTCGGATTGACTGACCAGAGCCGGGAGGATATTACGAGGACTCTGAAATACGTTGCAGTCACGGACAACGATGGCCTAGTCCAGCAGCACGCTCGGGACGTGATTGAGAGTTTGGAGAATTGGCAACTGTCTTCGATGGTTGCTTCGGGATACAATATCGGAGAACCAAGTATTGGGCGACTGGCAGGCTTGACCATCGACCAAGACCGATCACTCCCCTCTGTCAATACGAAACGTCCTAGGATAGAAGAGATTGAGTAAGCTAGTCATGGAATCCATCTCCTTCTTGGGCACGCAAGAAACAATCAAATATTGGAAAACCTCCTGGTCGGGTTGGTCTTCATCTAGCTCAGGACCCCTGCGAAGGTTTCGACAAAGTGTTATAGCGATCCGGGCCAGACCGGCCAAAAGGAGTGGGGCCGGACACCCGACTTACGGAGCTCACATAAGAGCATAACGCAGGTACTAAGGTATGCATGTAGAGAACATCACGTGATAACGCGTTTTCCGATCGTCGCATCGCGCCACAACGATAGCACTTTAACATATTGGGGGACTTTGTTCATGTACACAACAGTACCTTTCGTAATTCGCCCCCGAGCTAGGCGCGTGCCTTGACCCTCCCCACGTCGCGATCTTCTCGCCACACCGCGACAATGGCTCCGGCCCGAATCATCGCGGACTCGGATGATTCCGACGACGATTTCGAATCACCAAACAGTCCCTCGAAACCTACTACCACTTCCGCGATACCGAGCCAAGGCCGCTCCTCCGACCCCGCGAGTGTCGCGACCAACTCTACCGACCCCAAGTTCTTCCAGGCGATCTACACCGAGCAACAACGTGCGTCAGCAGCCAGCGACACATTGCGAAAGCCAGACGAATCTTCCTTATCCAACGGTGCAGCGCCCAGCTCTATACCAACTATGGCAGCACAAGACAGGCCGCAGCTGGAGAGGAACCACACCAGTACCTCCTCGCTCACCTCAGCCAGCGATCTCATTGCGGGGTTGGACAGCGCCGAGGAAAGGGAACCAGAGGTGGTGGACCTTACGGAAGTCACAACGCCGCCCAAAATGACCGTCGCACAAGCGACTCCCGACGATATGTGGGATGTTCCCAGCAGCCCCGTCAGCGGCGGTCGAGCGCCTCTTGCCAGCCTTGCAAAGAGCAGAACCTCAACCAGCGGGACGAAAAGAAAGCGAGCGAACAACGTGGAGTTTACGTCCCCTGTGGCCATCGAGATGCCTTCGCAGAGCTCCACGCAGCCGTTCGACACTACTCCGGCCGCCGCGAGGATGGAGAACGGGAAGAGGGCGAGACTCAGGAACCCGAACTGGTCTCTACTGGCCGAGGAAGACGACGTCGACATGGTGGTGGTCCCACACGCAGCCGTGGTACCGTCATTTGGTGACCTGGTCTCTGGCCAAAAGCCTGTTTCAATGTACATCGAGTCCCAGACACTGAGTGCAAGTCAAAAGCTGGAATACGAATATCACTCCGTTGGCCCGTCTCCAGAGGATCCAGCACCTACACCTACGCAGCCGTTTTCGACCCTGCAAGCTGCGGCTAGGTCAAGCGGGGCTACGACCATCGCATACTCTACGCCGAGCCAGACAAGAGTAATTGGCTTGCCTCCAGCCCCTACCGAAGGCCATGTTACACTAGACACGGTTCACGAGCAGACTCAGGAAGGTTTCGGGAGGTCAGCCGATCCAGAGGCAACTATAGAGATACAATCATCCCCGGATATCATATCTGCAGCATCGGTTCGTCGGAAGAGAAGGAGCTTGAGGGACGAACCGCCACAGGCGACGGAGTCTCACCGGGAAGACGAAGGTTGGGACTCCGACGACATTGGTTTCCATCGAGAATCGTACAAGCCTCGTCTCAGTCGACGCAGAGGTAGTGATGCTAGTCGACAGGACGAGGCTGAGATACAAGGGAACGCTGGGATTCCAGTGGCCGATATGGGCCCAGCCGCGCAACTACTAGTCGAGGACCCCATTCCCCTAGAAGAGCCCGTTCCAACGAGCACAGCAAAACCAAAAAAGAGAGGACGGCCGAGAAAGTCAGATTTCGCTGTAGCGGAGAGCCCAGCTCCCGCCGAAACCTCGACTACGCCACGGACCACCGACGCAAGCGAGACCGTGAAGAATGCTGCCGCAGAAACAGAGGCTGCAACGGCAGCCACACCGACGACCACCAAGAAAAAGCGCGGGCGGCCAAAGAAGGCAGACAAGAACGCACCAGAAAGCATGCAGCAAGCGATTGAGAAGCCACATGCACCTGAAGTGGAGTATGCGGGTGACGCCCCATCGGGCAAAGCGGCAAAGCACACCAAGGGCCGCGGGGAGCACGTCGATACGCAGCAGCGGGAAGGTTGCACAGCAGATGCGGGCAGCGACCCCCGAGAAAAGGGCGGCAGCGATCGGGTGCTGCAGCCAGTGACGCCTAATGCGGCGCTCAGCAAGTACGGTTCCGACGGACTGGGACCGCAAAAGAGCGTGGCAGCAGAGGAGAAAGTAGTGGCGACGAAAGAAACACCTGCGCAGGCAGATGGCGGCAAGTCTAGAACCGCGGATAGTAAAGCAGAGGGAAAGCAGAGGTTGTCGACGCCTGCGTCTTCCTCGGCGACGAAGCCCATCTATCGCGTGGGGCTGAGCAAGAGGTCGAGGATTGCGCCGTTGCTCAAGTCACTCAAAAAGTGACTTGACGGGGCATCGATCGAGCCTTACAGGGGCTTATAAGGGACTGGACGGCGCCATGGTCTGTGATATATTTACTCATTTTCTCACAAGATACCCAATGACATGGGCAACAGGCGTTCGAGGGCAGGCGGCATAAGGAATATTCGGGTGGTATCCGGATGACACGCAGCACCACTTATGCTTTATGGTTCGGGGGTATTCGTCTAGATCAATTAGGCCGATTGGCTATTTTATCGGGTGATGCGGCACGCGTCCATGAACCACCTTTGCAGTCGAGTACTCTATAGTGAGACACGATGTCTTGGGGTATCACATTACGAAACAAATGATTATGTTTTTGAGTGGTATGGTTCAAAGGCCTCAACAACGTTTTCCGAAGAAAACAAAATTCATGTTGGCAACACATGTGGCTGGGAATCCAGCTGAGTCATAGTGAAGGAATGGGATAGCAATGGCACCATCAGCCGCCGTGCAGCAGCGCGATGGCTCTATCGACTTTTGACATGCCATGAGCCCCATTGGGAAAGAGGGGTGATGGAGGGGTAGTCAGTCAGTCACTTGGGGATCTTAGTGGACCGTCCTTTGGCATACGCTATTGCATGTTGCGGTATAGTTGGATGGACTTTTAGAGCGCCGACATGCCACTTTCTAAAGGCGAATGCTATCATGCCTCCTCAAGGACGAGATGAGCTGAGATGAGAGAGAGCGGACGAAGGTGATGATGAGCAGGGTTGAAGTTGGATGTTGGATGTTGGATGTTCAGGAGCACGCACGGTCAGCGGTCGGTCCCCCCCTGTCAATGGAAAGATGAAGACGCCATCTGGAAGGAAACGACAGGGCAGTCATTGACCAATGAGACTACGCGATTTGAGCATCGCACAACCCACCAATCCCAGCCCCTTGGCGTCCCGTCATCGTTGAATTATGTCAGTCGCTACCTTACGCAGTAGGTACTTCGTACACCACCAAGTGTGAGGTGAGGTGGGCATGGGTAACCCCGCGCCTAGGTATTTGGCTCTGTGACTGTGGCTCTTTTCACTTTTGGTGCGGGGCAAAATTTTACATTGGACTCAGTCACTAAGGTCAGAGGGGGAGGGGCAGGGGCGGACAGTCACAGCACTGTACTCCGTAAGGTACCTACTGTAAGGTTGAGGAACTCGGAGGAGGAGAACGGGACCGCCCACAACACCGGGCCACACTTTGAGGGGTGACCGACTCGTCGAGACCGACTTTCGGCCGCTTGTCGTCGTTGCTATCACAGTGCCGCTGGTGTGTGACTCGCCCTCTCTTTTTTTTTTTTTTTTTTCTTCTTGCCCTTTTCGTCCGAATGCTTCCAAGATCTCAACGCCATCCTCTTTTCTCTCTCTCTCCCTCTAAACTAAAGAGATCGTGCATCTTCGGCAGACAAGAGACGAGCTTCTCTTGCCGTCTTCTTCCCTCTCTTCCCCTCTTTTCTGTGCTGCCATTGGGCTTCTCCCCGCCCCCCATTTTTCATTTTGCCCATTCCACCTCAACTCCCCCTACTTCACCGCATACCGCACATCGCAGACGCAGACGCAGACGCAGCTATCATCACCATGGCCACCAACGGTACCAAAGGCGAGGCCGCTGCCAACACCACCCACACTACATCCCAGCGGTATCTCAGCACCCGCGGAGAGGATAGCGGTGTATGATATCCCCGTTTCTACTCTTCTCCCCAAAAGCCAGCTTAACCTCGGCGCGCGCGCACCATTAGACATCATGCTCTAGACCACGCAATGACTGACCGCATATAACTACAGTTCTCTTTCGAGGAGGTCGTCCTCAAAGGCCTCGCCAGCGACGGCGGCCTGTTCATTCCTGAGCACATCCCCCAGGTCGATGACTGGCAATCCTGGAAGGACCTGGCCTTCCCCGACCTCGCCCACAAGATCCTGTCTCTGTACATCTCTCCCTCCGAGATCCCTTCCGCCGACCTCAAGGGCATCATCGACCGGAGCTATTCCACCTTTAGAGCCCCCGAGACCACCCCCCTCCGCCACCTCAACGACAACCTCTACCTTCTCGAGCTGTTCCACGGCCCCACCTTTGCCTTCAAGGACGTTGCACTGCAATTCCTCGGCAACCTGTTCGAGTACTTCTTGGTGCGCAAGAACGAGGGCAAGACAGGAAAGGGTATGCTATGCACCTCTCGTCTCCGGTACCTTGCGGGCTGCCACGACCTCAACAGATACTGTGCTGTGCCAATGGTACTTGCGGGACTAGCTAACACGTTGCGCAGACAGACATCATCTGACTGTTGTCGGTGCCACGAGCGGTGACACCGGTTCTGCCGCCATCTACGGTCTGCGAGGCAAGAAGGATGTCTCCGTCTTCATCCTCCACCCCAAGGGTCGCGTGAGCCCCATCCAGGAGGCCCAGATGACCACCGTCTTGGACGAGAATGTCCACAACCTGGCTGTCACTGGCACATTTGACGACTGCCAAGTAAGTCTCTCTCGCGCGCCCCCCCATACATCCTCCTGCCGAACGACACTCTCTAACCCCGAGTTACCTAGGACATTGTCAAGGCTCTCTTCGCCGATCCCGACATCAACTCGACCCACAACCTCGGTGCCGTCAACTCCATCAACTGGGCGCGTATCTTGGCCCAGATCGTCTACTACTTCCACTCCTACTTCTCCCTCGTCAAGTCTTCCGAGACCTTCAAGCTCGGTGACAAGGTTCGCTTCGTCGTGCCCACGGGTAACTTTGGCGACATTCTCGCCGGCTACTTTGCCTACCGCATGGGTCTGCCCGTCGACAAGCTTGTCATCGCGACCAACGAGAACGACATCCTGCACAGATTCTGGACGACTGGCAAGTACGAGAAGCAGCCCGCTCCCCCCGCTGAAGCTGCCGGCGGCCTGGCCCAGGACGGCGTCAAGGCGCACGAGGACGGCGTCAAGGAGACTCTCAGCCCCGCCATGGACATTCTCGTCTCAAGTAACTTTGAGCGCCTACTGTGGTTCCTGGCCTACGAGTTCGCCTCTAGCGCCGGCATGGACGACGAGTGGAACAAGAGGCAGGCCGGCCAGGAAGTGTCCTCGTGGCTAAAGGACCTCAAGACAAAGGGCGGCTTTGGCCCCGTCTACCAGGACGTGCTCAACTCGGCCCGCCGCGACTTTGAGAGCGAGCGCGTCAGCGACCCCCAGACCGTCGAGACCATCAAGAGCTACTACAACAAGATTGGCTACGTCCTGGACCCCCACTCCGCCATTGGCGTGTCCGCCTCGGAGCGGTCCGTCAGCCGCGCCGGCGCCGAGGTGCCGCACATTTCACTCTCCACGGCCCACCCGGCCAAATTCGCCGGCGCCGTCGACCTGGCTCTCAAGGACGAGGAGGGCTTCGACTTCAAGGCCAAGGTGCTGCCGTCAGAATTCGTCGGCTTGGAGGACAAGGAGAAGAGGGTGACGGAAATTGTCAACGATTGGCAAAAGGTGCGGGAGGTTGTCAGGGCGCAGGTCGACGAGGAGCTCAAGGCTGCCGAGAGCTGAATCTGAAGGGTCTGGAATACCATGACAGTGTGGGAGCATATAAACCAGCATTAGAAGCATGTGAGGTTGTTGGCCTGGCTTCCCTGTGGGACTTTTTCCTCATTCCACAAGAGAGAGATGAAAAAGTCTTGTTGAGAAGAAAGCCAGAGCACCAAACAAGAGAAGGCGCTTTTTTTTTCCTTTCCGGAATGGTTTACCTGTGGTTTGCGATTCGGGGCCATTTCGGTACGGCGTAGATGTCTTAGTTCCCTTCGTCCAAGCCCATAGAGGAAGAAGGTGTTAAGAGAGAGACTGGCATCCTTCCTCGAGAGAGGGGGGAAGAAGCGATGATGTTTGTCGGAGGATGGCAAAAGGCTTGAGAGTGAGAGAGAGAGAGAGAGAGAGAAGGGGGGGGGGGGGCACTATTTGGCATTATATGGGCGTTTGTTTTGGCTTGAAAGCCATTGCCATCCCTACCCCTGAATGTCTTGAACAATACGACCAAAAGCAAACCAAACCGAAGTACGCTCGCATACACTCAGCTGAGTGTGTAGCAGATACATGCCCTGATACATACGTGATGGTTTGAAGATTTTGCTACGTGAGATGTTCTCATGAGAATACCAGGTAAGGGCGGTCAAATCGAACGGAGAAATTAGATTGGAGAGCAAAAGTAAGGTAAGATGAGGTAAGGGTAGAGCAGGTCTGGATAGCCATGATCCGAAGTACTTTTTGTCATCCAAACCGTAAAAGTAGCGGCACGTGTCAAACCATGTTTTTTTTCGTGAGGGCCACGCCGAACTGACTGACTGACTGAATACTAACCCTCCCCGCCTCCTCGTCTCACTTTAGCGTTAGTTTGTGTGATGTCAAATGCGCGTGGGGAGAGGCTTGAGTTTTAGCCAGTAGCCAAACGGATTCACGGAACGGGCGTGGCGTTTCGTTGAGGCGCCGGAGGCCGTCTAGCGATGTCTCGACGGAGGGGGGGGGGGGGGAAGGTAGGGTCCCTGGAGTCAGTTGGTTGATTTTGAGAGCGTCACGCTCGGAGAGAGGAGTGGTGGACAACGTTTTGTTTCGTTTCTTTTTTTCGTTTGTATTTCTGAGTTTGAGATGAAGCGGTGAAAGAGATGGTGATGATGGGATGGAGACGGTGGGGATAGTGATGAGGTCTTATTATGTGTGCGTGAGATACATGTTTGATTCCTTGTGGTGAGAATGGGAGGACGGAAAAGTCTATAAGAAGCTGTGTCTGTCGTCTCGGTAGGTGGGTCTACGTTGATAGATCATCCAGACATTACACGCTTCGTCTTTACACTCTACTCAAACATTCCATCAGCCTTCCAGCCTTCCAACTTTGAAATCACGATATCCATCATCATGCCTAACCAAATGACCAAAGACGGTGCTTCTCGCATCCAGGCCAGCCAGGTATGTTACTGCCCCCTTCCTCCCGTGGTTCCCAACCCACGATTTGAAATAATCAGGGTGTCGAGGCGGCTGATTTTATCTCCGGGTAAGACATGTACATGACCAGATACTGACAAAAACAAAAATTGATTTCCAGGACAAGGGCGGAAGAGACATGTCCTCGGGCGGCTTCGCCGCCAGAGCCCAGGGCGCGGGCGACAGAAACGCCAATGCCGGAGTCGGTGGCCAGGGACAGGGCGGTGCTGGTGCTGGTGCTGGTCAGGGAGGGCAGCAGCAGACTGGGAAGAAGTAGGACGGCTTTTGTGGACGACCTCCAATAAGTTAGGGTACCTCGTGACGGGGGGGGGTTTCTAAGGAGGGCCCATGGGGTTTCTGCGGATGAACCTGGTTTCTTTTCTTGACGCTCGTTTAAACAGTGTGGTTTACATGTATGGGATTATCTATCTACCTGGCTCTCGAACAAGATTGAGTTGGGGACTCTGGGGTCTGAGATGATGTGACATGGAACATTTTGAAGAGGTTGTCCTGTGTGTAGTAGGTAGGGTACCTATGCGGAGAAAGTGCTGCTCTTTTGAGTGAAGAAAATGTGTGCTAACTCCAGTTTCTCGTGTTCCCAAGATACATAATCCAAAGGATTTGGTGAAATGGGAGCTACTGCGGCGGATGTTGATAGCATATTTGGAGCCAGTGTCTGCGATGTGGACACATTGTATGCGAGTCTTTGGGTATTGCTCACAGACACCATTTTTCCCTTACCATTTCAGTGACGCAAAGAAGCAAACAATTGACAATGCTTGAGATGCGGATTTCCTTTACTTGAATAAGGTGAGGACAATCTCGACCTTTTGCTTCCTGCTTTACGAGAAAGGAAGAGGCCACCAATGAGCTGGCAAGACTAAATCATGCTTTTGCCCAAGAAGCGAGCAACGATTATATGTTCGCTCCATTCATGAAGCCAGTTTGGTGCCATCACGTCCGATATGCTAGCTTCAGCTGTTCATAACCCCCCCGATATCAGGACTTGTCATGGTGTATTTGCCACCGCTAACAAGGCTGCAGAATAGCGACTTCTCAGCACCAGGCAACAAGACGCAATGCAGAGTGGCGTTGGCGCGAAGAAGCAAAAGGAACGAAGAATGTAATGACAGAATAAAATGGTTTAAGCTGGCTGCCTCGCTCGATAAAACAAGAGCAGATGACCTAGCGACTTCATCCAAGGTTTACAGGAATAGCATCCTTCCCAGTCCTTTTGAGACATGGCATGACTGGAAAAAACGGCAAGTCAACCAAGCAGCCGGCCAACCAAAGATTCAAAGTGTACAATCCTAATCCGGAGGTGCCTGGCCAAACTTGGGGGTTTCAATATGGCAGCCTCATGGAGGCGGTGTACTCGGCCGTGTAAGACAAAAGGGCCGGCCGTTGTCAAAGAATATTGTTCGTGGTGGTGGTCATGAAGAATAGATACGTACCCCGCGGGATGTGGAGAGGCAGCCCAAGCGCAGCCGCGGTGACCAGCAAGGGTTGTACGGTGTGGTGACTGAAATTTACTGGGAGAAGAGGCGCCGTTAGGCACTGTATTCTCCGATGGCGGCGCTTGCTTACCGCAATGCGCCTGCTCCACGTGCTAAAAGGCCCAGTATCTACGCAGTACGTTCCTAAGGTAAGGTGCCTTTTGAGACCTCCAATTCCCACCCCAACTGTCGCACCTCCAACCCGACATTTTCAAGAACCGACATCCAGACCACAAAGAATCAGCCGCGCGGTCGTGCTCTCCTCTTGCTGTGCCATTTTTCCGTTTCATGCAACCTCCAAGCAGCTCAAACCAACTTAACCTCTGACTAAATACCTAAGGAAGGTAGGTATTCCGCGAGGCCCCGGGATGAACCGCCGCCAGGTCAAAGCTCAGCCCCCCCCTCCCCCCCCCCCCCGGAGCTGGCCCCGAATGACCCCTCCACCCCCCTTCTGGCGCGTGAGACATGCCACTCATGCGCTCACCACAAACGACCACCCAAGTCTCACCGCGCACAACTTGTGAGGCTGTCTACATGACCTCGCCTTCGGACTCACACCTAGGTCAGCCAAACGGGCACCCGACAACCTAAATCCTCTTCAACTGTTGGGGAGGGGCGCCTCAACTTTGTACACACGCCCGCGGTCCCAGCCCACCATCTGCCTTGCAGGGTACCTTGCCTTAGTATGAACAACCAAGAGAAAGAAGGAAAGAAAAGTTGTCCTTCCAAATGTAGCCAAGACACAAACGTAGTCTATCTGTATTGTTTGCTACCCGTCAAAGGGTCCAGTTCGTACCAGTTCCTTCATCCGTCTGCAACCACCAACGGCAGCGCGTCAGCCACCGAGTCGGCGCCCATTCCTTCTCCCGCCCACGCGCTTGAATCTCGTGCCCTGTTGCCTCCTCCTCCGATGACTCGCAGCCGTTCCTGCGCCTACTTCTTTCTAGTAAATGTACGAAAGAGGGCGAGATTCTAGTCTAGTGACGAACGTACCCAAAGCCCTGGGATCCCAAATTCCTCCTTATGCCAGGGCACACCATACAGTAAACACCCTCTCAGGCAAGAGGAGGCGTCCTATCAAACAAGGTAGAATCAAGTAATGAACCTAGAGCAAAGTCGAGACGAAGCCCTACCCGCTCCCGCTCCGCCATGCAGCCCTCCGTCTTAGCGGTCCTCGTTGGTATTGCGAGACGGGGTAGTCTTCTGCGCTGATCACCTGCATATCACTCCGGGGCTCTCGTGGTCTGCTATCTTTATCCCACAGATCTCCATATCAAGGCCTCGATCTGCCCTTCTTGACCTTCTGTCTGTTTCTAGCCTTCTCTCGCCTTCATCCAATATCCTGAACCGAAACTCTGAATACTGTTCTTGCGAAACCTCTCAGTTCAACTTTAACTTAGACAGCCTCACAACAAACCTTTCGACTTATACGGACGACCACCACCACCTCCAGTCTCTCCCTCTCGCCAAACATCTCGAAAACACATCACAAACCACCTAGTCCACGAACAAAACCCCTTCAGACCGCATGGCCACCCGCCGGTGGTACCTCGAAACCTCCCCAGACGGCAAATACCAATTCGTCTCCCTCAAACGCTCCCGCTCCCACCACCACCACCATCACCGCCATCATCACCATGAAGAACCAGCTCCAGCTCCAGCTCCAGCTCCAGCTCCAGCTCCAGCTCCGTGTCCGGCACCAACACCAGCACCTCCGCCTCCACCTCCAGTCCACCACTGCTGCCGCGACGACTGCGCACACATCACCGCCCCGGAATACAACGACCTCCTAGACCGCGAACGCAAGCTCCGCGAAGCCAACGACGCCCTCGCCCGCGAAAACTACACCCTGAAATGCGACCTGCAAGCCTCGGACATTGAAGGCCGCCGCCTCTCGGCCCTTCTTATCTCGTCGCAGGCGGAGAACCAGCTCCTGCGCGAGGACAACGCCAGCTTGCGGCGGACGATTGAGAGTTCGGGCGGGAACGCGGGCAAGTATTTACGGGAGGTGGAGCGGTTGAAGCATAAGCTGCAAAAGGTAGAGCGGGAGCTGGCGGCGCGGTTGAGGCATGGTCCGCATCATCATCACCACTTCGGTCACGGGCTCGGGCACGGGGTGGCGGAGAGGATTGAGGAGTTGAGGAGGGTTGTGCGTGCGTGGGAGGGCAAGTATGATGGCGTGGAGGAGCAGAATCGGCGGTTGAGGCGGGAGTTGCATGAGCAGCGGTGTGTTATTGCGGGTCAGGACGAGAGAATCAGGGAGTATGAGAGGATTTTGAGGAGGCATGGGTTTATAAGGTATGAATGAGCGACGGGGGTTGTGGGATGTAGGGAGGGATATACGTTTTCCTTTCTGGTTGTTTCCTCTCTCTCTCCTTCTCTCCCGCGAGATGTGGAATTTGAGTACCTATGAGGATAAGTGTCTTCAGCGGCTTCTTGAAAGGAGAGTCTCTTTCTTTGGTAGGAAGGAACCCGTTTGGCTGGATGATATTTCATGAGGAAGCTTCGGTGTGAGTTTCTCCCTCTCTTCGAGATATCTTGCCTTGGATATGAGAGCTGACATTCGCATCGGCATGGGCTCTCATCAGAAATTGCAGGGCATCGATTTTATTGGCTTTGATTTTGAGATAGACTTTTTGCTGACGATGCTTCATTGGGTACTCCGTCATGCAAGGCACTGCGTGACGATCATTGGGTACGCTTTCCTGGAGCATCGCAGCCCCGACCTTCGCTCACGACACTTTTCATTTGTCACCAATGGACTTCTCTGGCATTCTTACATGACTTTTAGCTTTGGAACGTTTCATTGAGGGGTATTATTTGGGGCGGATGATGAACTGATGGAGAGGTGGATTGCCATCTCACACGTTTCATTTGATGTTGGTAGTTATTACTCGTGCTAGCTGTATCAATCAATCATGCCTCCCCAACGTCTTTTGTCGAGTTTCCAAGTCGAAAATGTTGATAACTTCCTTCAAAAGGTCCTCCTCATGCTCGCACTTGAAAGTATCAAATTCCTGAGCAGCGCGTAATATAGCATCCCGCCACGATGACATTGAAGTCATTCAACGTGAGCACGCATTTGACAAAAAACCATGCATGCATGCATAATTCTAATCTCACTTCTGCTTGATATGAAATGATCGAGGCTCTCATCAAATTTTCGCCTTATTGTGTGTATCGGCGCAAGGGACCAAAAGGTTCGCATCAATAGCTCGACAGGTTGATTGGCCAGAATTATCAAACCAGTACCATACTCAGTAATGCCTGGCATCCACGTTAAGCTTTCATGCAAGTTACCATACGCCAAAAGATTAAACAAAAAATCAAGCCCCCCTACAAACAATCTAATTGTGCGATGGTGGCTGTCAGCGGAAGGTAAGACGAAACGTCGGCACCGGGTCACCAAGTCAGCTGTCTCCGAACCGAGACATTGGTTGGGCCAGACCTCATGACGCCATCCCGTTCTTTCGTCCTTCTCCAACACTCTGTATCTCCAAATTTGGTACACGCACTGATCCACCACAGTTCGGGGCACCTAGCTAGCTAGGAACTCAGCTTAAGCCAACTGCTCGGGATACCATTCTGGGGGATACGAACGATTCTGTCAAACTGCAAGGGTTTTTCACTCCCGTACTTCGTAGCTGTGCCGATTCCGTTTTACACCCCCCCCATGGCCACGTCAAATCAGACGTAATGGTGTGCAGCGTAAGGCTGCAGCATTGCCTTGGCGCCGGGAAACTGGCGTTGCACAAGCTGTGGCAGCGCGCGAATGCGCGAT